ACTTTATTTCCAAATGAGTCAGTCTTTTTATAACAGGGTAATTTCTGGAAATATCTATATTTGTTTGTGTCTGTTGTCTCTCTATGTCCCCACTCTTCATACTGTGTTCTATGGAGGTAACAGGCCCTTGATAGACTCTTCTTGGAGGTAATGGGGTTTGAATTTAGAGCTTTGTGCTTGCTAAGCAGGTGCATTCTACCATTTGATCCACATCTCCAGCCTGTAAGAAAAACAATTTTTTCTATCAAAGTATATGTCACCCTCTTAGATTACTTAAAATTCCTCAGGTCACTATCTTAGGTGACTTGCATTGTTTAAAGGGTTCCTGTTTCTTCTTCCGGATTCTTGTACAGCCCCATTGCCCACAAAAATTGCCCACCAAGTGTGTGCCCTAACTCATCTCCCAAGCCTTTTAGCCAGTTGAGAAAGATTCTGAACCTTTGACCTGGACAAATCTCAGCTAACGAGCAGTTACAACTGTGTCAGGGCTATAAGGAGATGCCACTGTTGGCCATTTTGTGCTCACATGTCTGCTCAGCTGGAGTGAATACATGCTTGCACCCTTTTGATCAAAAGAAATTGCCTTGTCAAGATTTTCTCTGTCTCTCATGTGTCTGATTTTGGCACCGAAGGGTCTTTAATTCCAACAAACCCTTTTTGCTCTGATTATTGTAGAGGTAGGGTTTTGCTTTTTGCCTGGGTTGGCCTGACCCATGATCTTCCTTAAGCTTCCCTCTCACACTACTATGCCCAGTTTTATTTCCATTGAAAAGGGGTCTCACAAACTTTTTGCTGGAGATAGCCTGGAACCATGATCCTCCTGATCTCAGCCTCCCAAGTAGCTAGAATCACAGGTGTGAGTCACTGGTGCTTGGCAGACTTCTTTTTTATTGTTGCTTTTTTAAGCAGGGTCAGGCTGTCCTCCAACTTGCAATCTTCCTACCTCAGTCTTCCAAGTACTGGAATTGCAGGCATGTGCTGCCATGCCTAACAGAACTCTTCACTGTGGTTTTTTTGTTTTGTTTTTTTTGCAGTGTTGGGGATTCATCCGTGGCCCTTTGATAGACATCTTGCAAGAGAATTTTGCAGTGCACAAAGCAGAAGCAGGCTGAAACCACTGAATCTATTCTTCCTTTATAAAACTCTGAAAATCCCACTGAGGATGTATTTGCCTAAAGGCAAAAGGAGAAGGATGAGGTCCTGAAGAATCAAGAGAGAAAAAGAAAAAAGATCTTTTCCACTCCCAATCCCACTGGGAAGGGAGAGGTCTTGAGTCTGGGGCTGTAGGAATTCTTAGCAATGCTTCAGTGCGGGAGGAGATGGCCCTATGGTTCTTGGAGGAAAGCAGAATGTAAACACGCTCCCCTGGACTCCATGCCACCTTTGAGTGGAAAGGATTCCATCATGACTGACATGACATTTCTAGCTTCCTTGTTAGGATGGGGAACTTGAGGTAAAATTCAAGTTAAACAATGACTATTTCTTCCCCACTCACATGTGAGTTTGTGGACAGGCCCATTCCATTTTCAGCCCCTTAAAGAACATAACTTTACTTTTAATCACAGCATTTCAGATTCCCAGAGCATCTTCCCTGTTGTGATGGGTACTGCACAGGAGACCATGTACCCCATGGGCTGGAAGGATCACGAAGAAAATGTTCTCCAGCATCCAGAGGGAGGAAATAGGAAGCAAGAGAGAAACTGAGGGAGCAGAGGAGAGAAGCCTTCAAGAGCCCATCAGACAGCAATTATTCTCCCAGAGAAAGAAACCATTTCCCACTGTGGCTATTAAAGTGATTTATAATTAAGTAGCTCTTCATGAGGCGATATTTCAATTGATGGTGAAGGTCTGAGGGGGAGGAGGCCTACTTTCCAGGCATCTAAGTGTTTGTGTCATTTGACTCACTCTATTATTCATTATTTTTCCCAGTCCACTTTAGCAGGTTTAAGTGAGAGGGAGGTTGGACCCACCTGGCCAAGTACAATTCCCAGAGAGCCAAGCTTGGTGGAAAAAGAGTCCCACTCTGGCCTCACAAGGACCTCAGCCCCTGTTTAGCTGACCCATGCTTGGAGCTGAGAGGCTAGGCTGAGCCCCAGCAGTACAGGGAGGCAGTCAAGAGATCTTTTTCAGCTTTAGCATGCTATGACCCAGGGCCAGCTGCTGGAGGCATTGTTAGGATTCACCCTTAATGTTCAGCTGATTAGCAGCTTCACTAAAGTACACTGCAAAAATATGTATATTTGGAGTCCAGTGATTTAGATGTATGAATTCTGGCGAGAGTATTAACCTTTCTGAGCTTCCATTTTCTTTTCTGAAAATAGAGATAATATCAATCTCATAGGGTGATGATGAGGATTACCTACAAAAATGCAAGTGTCTACTGCCTGGCACACATCAGTAATATTCATCCTGTGCTTGGAGAATGCAGTAGACTTCTTCTTCCACCTCAGCCTGCTCCACACTGACTTGAAGTCATTGCCATATGCAAATCACTTCTCTTCTCTATGCCTTCCTTTCCTCATCTGCTCTGCCTACCTACTTCTTAGGGCCTTTTAGAAGACAATGGAGACAGAAGTTCCCAAAGTAGGTCACTTGCTCTCTTACTGGCTGGGTCTGGCTTCCAGAAACTATGCTAAGCGAAAGTCTAGGAATTATCTGGACCGGGTTGAACAGTCAGCAGGGCCCGGAGCCCTCCTTATGGGTGGGACAGTGGGGATTAACAGTTGGCAGTCCCCAAAGGGCTTGAATAAAGCTATTTTACCTGTTAGATTTACATCTCTCTAAAAGAAAACTGAGAACAAAGACATCCCGCAAGGCAGGCACAATTCTGGCCTTCAAACAAACCATAGAACAGCATGGAGCTGACTGAAGAGGGCTCTTACTGATATAGGAAGGTCTTAGGAGGTTCCTTGTCTCTACCAACACCCCCCTCCAGCACTTCAAAGGGGACCAAAGTGAAGGCATCCATCTGTTAATGCAAAATGGGAAGAAGTTTTATCACCCATCCTGTCGAGCAGGTCCAATGTATTAGAGTCATGTGGGCACCACAAAAAATACTAACAGAATCAGGGTGAGAAGCGCTGGATTTAGGTAGTTTAAAAAGTCCTATGGGTCATTCTGAAGTATTCTAATGTTCTGACTTGCGTAGGAGGATAATTGCCCAAGGCCCAATTGATTAATGAGGGAACAAAAATGACACAAACCCAGGCCTCCAACTCTATTTTCAATGGATGTAATGAGATTTGATGGACCTCACCAGGTGGTCTTGTTCCAAAAGCTCCTTGGCAACCATATCTTCCCTTCCCTACATGGGCATCCCAGAACAGAGAATTCAACTTTGGTAAAATATCTATTTCCCTCCCATGAGGTTCTCTCTTTTCTCTTGTGATAATTTTTTTTCAATTGGTTTCACTTGATTCATGAGGTCATGAGCTTCTTTGTTGGTCTAAGGAGGGGACTCAGAGGTCCCTCCTATTTTGTCTGTGGCAACGCTACCCAAGACTTTCAAGAAATGACTATCTCAGACTTTCTGGCTTGCTTGGAAATTGCAGTTGGGGAGAACTCAGGGAAGCCCCCAAAGCAAGTGCCAGATGGCCCTGTTTGTTAGGGGTCAAGGATAAGAATCTGGATTAGAAAAACCAAAACTATGAGCACAATCACCTTCTAGTTTGTGGCCCAGGTAGGTGTTTGTGTGGGTAACAGGAACTGGGAAGTGATTCCTTCCTAGCCTAGGACAGGCCTGAAATCAGCACAAGACCCCAAGGTTACAGTTGTTGTGCTATATGTCTGGTGCCCACTGGATAAGGTACCCTGCCCCTTCTAGCTGTCGGAGACAAGGCTCCCTTTGTGAGCCATTCTGTCTTGACCTTGCCCTGGAACATTTTGCGGTTGTTTGTCCCAACTTCTCCATCTCCAGCACAAGATGGCACCGTCCCTGCTTCTCTTCCGGGAGTTTACCTTGCCGCTGGCGCGAACGTGCACCCTATCAGAAGTCCTATAGCAGAACCAGCCAACCAGCCTGCACCTCGTCATACCCCTCACTCCCTCAGCACATAAATACCCCTGTGTGAACAATAAAATTTTGCAGCTTGATCAGAACTCCTGTCTTGCTGTCTCCTTCGTGTCTCTTGTCCCTTCATTCTTCCCCTTCTAGGTTCGCTACCCACACTGATGTGTCCTGCAGGACGGGACATCTAGCCCTACAGCTTAATATGTAGGGCAGACAGCTTCCTGGACAGTATGATTTTAGTATGCCATTCCTACAGCTGGGCCTGACTATTTCACCACTAGACACATTATTTTGACTGAGCCACTAGCAATAGATGGCTCCCTCTTGGCTGGTGGGGAGGCAGTACAAACTTCAGAAGTACTAGTTAGTCCCTGACAGTGCACAGGGACTTCAGGGGCAAGTCTCAGGGAATAAAAGGTGATAGAGTTTACAGACACAGAATTTGATGCAAGGAATGAAGAACTGAGTTTCTTCTACTTTCAGTTTCAGCTCAGGCTTATTTCCCCTGCTGGGTGCCCCCCCCCCCCCGCCATCTTCTTGGTTTTCCAATTATCCCTTAAGGGCAAATCTACCAATCACAGATCACAGGAATGCTGCTGTGCAACAAACCACAAGAATCCCCTCTAGTCACTGGGGGTCCCTCCAGAACCCAGAAGTTTATTAGCATTCATCAAAAGAAATATATATTGGAACATACAGGCAGTGCATCAAAATATCTAAATGCCAATGAGAGCTAGGAGTGGAAAGATCACAACCTGGGTGGTTCTGTGATGTCTTAGGAATGGGGAAGGGGAAGCTCAGGCACAGCAAGCAGACACTTTCCCCTTTCTGTACTGAGAAAGCACTCTTACACCCCGAGTGAGGATGTACTGCTGCTTTTAATTCCCCCCCACCTTCCCCCAGCCATTTTATTTAACATGACCTAAATACACATTCCTGTTTTCCCTCCACACCCCTCCCCATATACAACAGGGAAAATAAGCACCAATAGTAACAAGAATAATAATTACAGCCCCACCTCTTAAGAGGCCCAATCTTCACACATGTCATGTGGATTTTCTTCTTTGGAGTGACTATAGGATTAAAAAATGGAGGATCAGGCTGGCTAGCCATTACCTGACAGTCACTGTTCCTCAGAGTACCATCCACATGTGAGCTAAAGTAGGGTGAGGGATGGGAAATGGTAGTAGGAGGATAGAGTCCCCCAAAGCAGCAATAGGGGTGAAGGAGTTCCCCAATGTCTCTTCTGGACAAATTTCACAATCTACTGGGCTCCTGAAAAGTCCCATGTAAGGGTTTCCTCAACGAGATGATCAGTTCTTGATGGTTCAAGCATCATTGCCATCTGTCTGCCTCAGCTTCTTGAGGAAAGGAGGTATGGTTTAAACCCCTTGCCCTCCCCATTGGATGGAAAATGTCCCCAAAATGCTCCTTTGGAGAACCTAATATGACAAATAGTACAACATCTGCACTTTTAAGTTTCAAAATGGAAGCACAAAATACAAAAAGGAAAAAAAAAGAAGCTTGAGTACTCTTAGAAGGTCTACACACGGGGGATGAGGGGTCCTAAAGAAAAACATAAAGCTATAAAACATGCTGTCTACCAGGATCCATGTGCCTGAGTCATTTGGCATTTATCTTCAGTACCTGGACATCTTTTTCTGTCCTTACCGTGGGGGGTGGTGGTGGAGAAACTAACAGTGTGAACAACAGCAGGAAGAGGAGAGGGGAAAGAGGGAGGGTCCTAGGCAGTTGAGATGACAGCCCTCTGCACGAGCAGCAGTGATTTTTCTGTCATCTTTGTTTTAAAACTGTAAACAGCACCACTTAAAAACAAAATATATCAGAAAAGAACAATTGATAAAGATTGTTTTCCATGAATATAAAATGCAAACAATATAAAAATAGATAATTGATTTTGATATATATATTAAAAACAACTTGAATGCAACATACATATGGGTAAACTTGAAAGTCTCCCTGCTAAACCCTCCATGCCTCCCCTAGCAAGTGAGCCTGGGGGCTGGGGGCAGGTGTGGTGGTGACATTGGCATAGGTGGGAAAGCTGCTGGCAGTAGGATGAGAGCACACACTCTCTGAGTATGGAAACCTACTTCCCTCCTTTGTACAGCACTGATAGAGGGAGGGAGACTAGTATTTATTAAAGCCTTTATCCTGGGAGGATTGTGGCCTGGCACCCAAGCTAAAGCCAGAAGGGCCCCAAGGCAGGGCTTTCTTAGAGACTCTAAAGCACCAAGAATCTGGCATCCTGGCCTGGGAGAGGCCTGCTAGGTGGCCTTCCCTATCCACATTCACTGGTCCTTAAAGGGCCAGTCTCATCTGGGAATTCTAAGGTTTAAATCTGTTACTACTTAGGCCTAATGGGTAGCAAGATGAGGGCAGCTACTTTCTCTCAAGTCACATCTTCCTTTTAAGTCACATCCAAAGGCATCCTCCTAAGACCTTGCAATTGAAACATGTTATTCATCTGGCCATAGCCTGTTTAGAGAGAGGCCTGGAGCTTGGTTGGCTTTCCCATTGTCATCCTGTGCTGTCATTACCACATCCTCAGCCAAGTCTTCCTTCTCTAGAATGCAGCTGGCATTTGGTCATGAACTTTTCAGCTCTAGCAACTCAAAGGAGCCTGCTTCTGCAGCCACATATCCTGACCATCCCACTTTTGGTGGTGAATCCTGACCCTGGGCTAATCAGGGCAGTGAAGGGACTTAGAGGCTGTGATGCTGTCCAAGCCATGAACTCTTATTCAGTCCCAGGTCCTACTCTGTGGTGTATGACCTTTCAAAGCCCAACAAAGTATGTCAGGGCTATGACAGCTCCTCTTACAGAGGGTTCATCTTGTTGCCCTCCTGACCCTGAGGGCAGCTCTCAGCCCTTACCCAAAGGCCAACAACCTTTTTCCTATTCCCAGATAGGCTGGTGGTCCTTCTTCACTGGGCTATGGAGGCTGGTGATAGCTCTACTGCCTGCCATGGCATGTCCACATGCAGACAGAAGCTCAAGCTGCCCTGAAGGAAGAAGCAAGTGGTGAGTTTTCTCCTGTTATAAAGGCATTTGGTGAGGGTTTACTTCCTGACAAACATCCAGAACAATTTCAGCCTCACTCCCAGAGAAGCTTTGGTAAGAAGCCAGATAGTTACAATCTGGGCACTTCTCTCCTGGAATGCTGTGATTGGGGTAAGGAGGCCCTGCCTCACCTTCTTTCATTCTCCAGCTCCAGGACAGATGCATTTCTTCATGATGAGCTGGTCTGGGTCCCTTGAGATCCCTTGGCACTGGTGCCATGCAAACTCATGTGGTTATTTTCATGGGTATAACTTCTACCAGCAAGGTCGTCTCTTGTTGACGAGGGGCACAGGGCCAATCCCAATCTGATAAATGGTGGCAAAGACCAGCGTGCCTATATCCCCTGGCCAAGGGACAGTTTGCCAATAAAGTCACCTTGACTCAGAGAGCCAACAGCATCTGTTTCCAAGGTAAATTGCCATAAATCAGGAATGGCAAGAGCCTTGTTGACTTCTTCCCTTAACAGACATGATGATGGCTGAGTGGTGGAAATAGAGGAAGGGATATAAGAGGCAAGAATCATAATTTGGGTCACTACATCCAGGCAAAAAATGTTTTACGTGCCACTTCCACTAAAGAAATTTAAAAGGAACCTCTCATATGGGTGATTAACAACAGTTGAGTCTAGCAAGATAAAGCCCATTGCAATATTTTCCTGACAGTAAGCTCTTCTCCACCAGTATTTCCAACCTAGTTTAACATGAAAACCACATGGATGTAGATGGGAGGATGCTATACATTCCATTTCATAAAGGGCTGCAACTGTCATGCAAATCATAGTCCTGTAGCTTGACAGAGTGAGGGTGTGTCAGTCTTTCCTCTCAAGAAGCCTGGTCCTTTGATTATACTAATTGGGAGATGAAAGCTCTTTGGAGAGCCCAGAACAGCAGCTGAGATGCCTTTGGTATCTTGTCTTGGGAGTGCAAGCCTAGAGACTCTAGTGTCCAAATGAAGGGGTGGGCAAGACTTAGGGAACATTTTGGCTTGTGGCAGGAGGGTAAGGAGCTTCTAAAAAGCTGGGTTGCCTCAAGCTTCACAATCTGAAATCTCCTCTTGCTGACTGGGATAAATGAATCCTTTTTGTTTCCTTCCCCTATACCCACCCAATAAAAACCTGAAGCCCTGCAGCCAAGCCCCAATTTAGATTGCATCTCTTACTTTATCTCAAATAAAGGAACATGTTCCTTGTGATGAGATTATGAAAACTCCCTTTAGAGGAAAAAAATGAAAATTTGAAAGTGTTGGCTTAAGAGAAGAAAGAAAAAAATCCTATCATTCCAGAGTTCAAGACTATGGCAGGGCTGGAAATGTGGCTTGAGTGGTAGAGCACTTGCCTAGCAAGTATGAGGCCCTGAGTTCAAACCTCAGTTCCAAAAGAAAAAAAAGACTATGTCAGTGTGCAAGATAGAACCACAAAACCTTATTTAGTCTTCTTCTTATAAAAGGACAGATTTAATTACTCCATTAAGGAGATTTGTGTTTTTGTCTTCAACTCAAATTATGGCAGGCCAGGTTAAAAAGCCCCCATCTGGTTATGATGTCAAAGTTCACAGCAATAAGCAGTGAGACACATGCTTGATCCCTCTCTAAGGACAGCTAGCTGGGACAAATAGCTTATAGTCATCTGATGTAACAGTGGCAGCTATGTCAAGGCCAAAAGGAATGGGGATGGGGAGGGTCTGTACCATAACTTCACATTGCTAACAGCAAACAAGCCCCCACCAGACTTGGCTGGTCATCAGTGGTTCATCATTTACTAGGGGGAGGGAACAGGGGGCACTAAGGGCCTGTGTTAAGGATGCATTTTGTGTGTGTGTGTGTATAAAATCATTAACTTGGCATCTGGAATAGGCACAAAATTATGCTATCCCAATTTATGAGTCACAAGAAGAAACCCCAAAAGCAAAAACTGGAGCACAGTAGCAGCAGCCTCCCTGGGAAGATGTACTTGAGCTGAACATGGCCATAGGTGGCAGAAGAGGGAAGGAGAAAAACAAAGGTGAAAACTCAGAGAGTTTTCCTTGGCCAAAAGGATTTTCAAGTTAAACAACAACTCCCACCCCCACCCCTCTGCCCAACCCCATTCCCATTCACATGCTCAGGCCCCATGTCTCCACTCCAGAATCAGTGATGACTACTTGACTACATTTCCATTCATGGCAGTGGAGGAGTAGCTGATGGGAAGAGAGGCACCTTGTTCTGCCCTCTCCTTTGACAGGTCAAGGCTGGAAGCCCTGTAGGGCTGGGGCTGGAGGGGCTGAGACCGAACCTTGGGTAGCTGAGGGATACCATGGGTGATGCCCACAGGCTTGCCCTGGGACAGAGGGCTAGGGCTAAAACCTCCAGAACTGGATGAACAACTGGGCTCATCAACCTGCAGCAGCACATCTCGAGGCCTGGCCCTCACACTTGGGGAGGCTTGTGGCTGAAGGTTATAGCAAGGGCCCATGGGCAGGGGTAGGTGTGAAGGTCGAATTAGCTGAGGCCCAGATTCCCCAGGAGCTCTTGACTCTGGTCCTGACATGGTAACAGGAGGTAAACAACATGTTGCCTGCCCATATGGAAACTGGCTGGAAGGCCCATCCAACTGACTGGGGCTTATCCAGGCAGGGCCTGGCCCCACTGGAAGAGGACAGGGAGCCCAGGAAGGCCAGTCATAGGCCCCTGGGGGTTCAGTATAGAGGGACAGGGGACTGTCTCGGCCCCATTCTCCTTCCTCTTCTTCATCTGAATCTTCCTGCTGAGCCTGAAGCTCATCAGACTCCAGATAGCCTTGGGCCATGTGCGAACTGGAGAGCTCCAGCTCCAGCGTCTCTGCAGTATCAAGGGAGCGGCTCCTTCTGTTGAGGGCCATAGCAGCAGGTGGAGGTTGAGGGTGCATGCCAGGTAGTCCCAAGTATCGAGGGAGGCTGCTCACACCCCAAGGCAGGCCTTGGTAAAATCGGCTGTGGTAGTTATTGAAGGCATGTTTGTGATAGTAGCCCAGCTCAAAAGCTTCCAAGGAGGCTGCAAGGTCTTCATCATTGTGGAACTCAGGATTTTCTTCACACTTGCCTTCTCCATCCCGTTCTACATCAGCAATGTCAAATGTTACCATGGGAGGAAGCTCAGGGAGGTTTTGAGTGAAGGACGAGTCAGAATCAGAACTGCAGGACATGCTGGAAAAAAGGTTTCCATTGCTGGTGAACTCCACTAGAGCCTGTGAAAAACTCACAGTGGCATTCCCTTCCTTTCCATCCTCCTCTTCCTCTGGGATCCTCAGGGGGTGAGTAAGTAGGGTAGGCCCTCCTTGGAGATCCTCCAAAACTTGCTTCTTGCATGTCTGGCTCAAACATGGCATCACTCTGGAAGAGCTGCATCAGACAGGTACTTTGATCTTTCTTGGAACAGATTCCCTCAAAACGCTTCTCCAGAGGACGAAAATCCCGCCAGTCTGGTTCACTACTTGAAGTGGCAGGGAATGCTGAGGTGGTTCCCCGGTGGGAAGACTGAGAAGCTCCTGATGTCCCTGCCACCAGGCCCATCACTGATGGCCCTAAGGGCCTCATCTGATACTCCAAAATGGGCTTCTCTTGTTGGGTCTGGCCCTCTCGGACTTGACCCTCTTGAGCATGAACCTCACGGGCTTGGGTTTCTCGGGTTCGGACCTCCCTGGCATGACTTTCTCGAGTGTGGACCTCTCGGGCATAGGCCTCCCTGGCATGAGATTCTCGGGTATAGGCCTCCCTGGTGTGGGCCTCTCTAGCACGAGCCTCCCGAGCCTCAAGCTGCTCCCTCCGAAGCTCCCAATACAACAATTGTTTTTGGATGGTCACTAGCCGTTCTTCCTCTGTCTCCATTGCCCCTGGGGGCCGAGAGGAAGAAAAGGACTCAAAGTTCAAGAAGGGATCAAACACCTCAGAGCTGCGACCCTGGAGATCATAAAGGCAGTCATCCCCAGGTGGAGAGTTCTCAAGACTGCCATCTGGCTCATAGAACTCATAAAGGGCATCTCCACTATAGCTGTCTCTGGGTAAACAATCCCTGTGGACAAGCCCCAGGGCCTCACCTGAGTCGTCCTCAAATCCAGGTGTGGCAGAATCATAATAACCTTCATCACTATTAGGAGCAGATTCTTGTTGGTCACTCTGAGGGGTCAAAAGTTCCCCAGAATAAGATGGAACTGGATCAAGAAGCATGTAGCCATGGTGGCCTGGGGATGTGGTGGGATGGTAACCCAGGTTCAAATTGGGCCTTGGGTACATCTGGGCGCTGGCCCACAGATATTCTAAGTCATCATCCCCTTCTTCCTCTTCTTTGACCTCCTCTTCTTCCTCCTCTAGTTCCACTTCCTCTTCTTCCTCCTCTTCCTCGTCATCATCATCTGGCAAGGCCATCTCCTCCCCACCTCCTTGGTAGGTCACCAGGCAGGAACTTCGCTTGGTCCCATCTCGGTTGGCCCTCTGGCCCCCAGAGGCCATGCTGTCTGTCATACTGTCCATGTCCTGTTCTGCTATAATGTCACCACAACCTGTCAATGAGTCAAAGCTCTTCAGGGATGTGACATCCCCAAATAGGAGGCTCAGTTGATCCCCCACAGGGCCATTGGGTGGATTTACCTCTCCTGCCACCACCTTCTCCCTTGTTTCCAGAGTGTGTGGATCCTCTAGGCTACTGGCTTCAGTAGCAGGCTTGGGTTGCATAAGTGTTGAGGTCCCTGTTAGTTGTTCTGGATTTTTACAAGCCATCTTTTCAGTAGCTGGTGGAGAAGGTTCTGGTGATGGAGAAATTTTTGGTCCAGGGGCATCTTGGGGTTTGGTACTTTCCATTTTGGCTGGGAAAATCTCATCAGAGCAAGGTACAGGAGCTGAGCTCACATGCTCATGAGACCTGTCTCTGGCATTCTCAGGCCCCTTTGCCCCTGGCTGACTTTGCTCAGTCCCAGTAATCTTGCTTTTTCGGTGACGGCGGATACTGCTAAAAAAGCCTTTTAGGCCTTTCTTTGGCTTGGGCAGAGAGAGTACCTTCTCAGCTCTAGCCCTCTCTGTGGTTCCAGCTACAGATAGCTTATATCTGGAACCTGTCTCCAAAGCCCCATGGTCACTCCGAGAACTGGGAAATAGGCAGGGTGACTTGGGCAAAGGTAGGGAGAACTCAGTTCCTTCACTGACAACATCTTCAGGACAGGCTGCTTCGCTCAGGCCATAATGGGTCTTGCTCTTGTTTAGACCCTTCTTGGAGCTGCCTTTCCCAGAACATTTGCTTCGTCCTCCTCCAAAGAAACTAGGCAGAGTACAGATTCCCTTCTTGCCACCAAAGAGTTTCATGGCAGTTTTCTTCAGTCTACCTGGGCCAGATGAGGGTGGCTCTGATGTTGACCCTTCTGTTGTCTCAGCTGCCTTGTTCTTGGCTCCTTTCTCTGACCCTTGGTCCTGGGTATCTCCAGAGGCTGCCGTTCCCTTGGTCTGAAGAGTTTCATCCTTTCGGGGCTCCATGGTGATGGGAAAACTCAGATACAGCTGGTAATGCAGCCTCGGGATTCCAGGTGCTGTTATAACATCATCAGTCAGGAAGCATCACAGTGGAGTCTGGAGGAGATAAGAGAAACAAAGACAGAGGGACAGATACTGGTGAGCAAGCACCTTAGCTTGGGTTTGTTTTGACAGGTTATCTGTGGTCTTAGGCTTGAGTAGACACACCAACAATGTAAAGGAAAATGTGGGGGCAACCTTAATTCACTCCATATGCTGCTTGGCTTGCTGGGCCAGCCCCCTCTGGGCCTCAAGGCAGCAAAATTCTACACTGAGCAACAGGCAGCTCTCACCAGATGTGCCCTTCATCAGTCTACTCCCTTCAGGCTATCATAAGCTCAGGGGAGCACTGGACAGGGTGAACTGCAGATGTGTGAAAGACCCAGTGGAGCTGGGTCTTTTTTCAATTACCAGAGCGGGGCAGAAACACACAAAGCAAGAGGAAGGTTGGCTCTAGCATCACAGAATTTTTTTGAGGGGGAGAGGGTGTGTGGGGGGGCAGTACTGGAGTTTGAATTCAGGGCCTTGTGCTTACTAGGCTGGTGCTCTATCACTTGAGCCACACTCCCAGCCCTTTTTGCTTTAGGTTATGTTTGAATAGGGTCTCTCATTTTTGCTCTCGCCAGACTGAACTGCAATCCTCCCATTTACATCTCCCATGTAGCTAGGACTATAGATGTGTATCACTGTGCCTGGACTTAACATGGAATTTTTAAGAAGCATGTGGCAAAATAGCTTATTAAGTCCTCACTGGGTTCTACTAGATCCGGACATCAATTTCACATTAGCTTGGGTTCTAACTGACATTTTTTTCTGGGGTTAGGAAGAAAAGCAGACCTACCCAATGGCTCCTTAAATTGCCCTCAGGACCATGCTTAAATCTTCAGAACCCCAGAAAAAGAGCCTCACAGACTTGCAGACCAGGACTGCATTGCAGGACTCATTAAACTGACACAGTGGGTTCAGGAAGGATATTCTTTAGGTTTCTGAATCCTCTAGCCAAGAGGACACCAAAACCTCCCCCTTGCAGAGGTTATATGAGGGATGGGTCTAGGTCAGACTCTTTATTGATTGTCCTGCTGAAGAGATTTTTAATATTGCCCTTAGCAAATGGAATCCCCAGATTCCACTTTAGAAACACAAAGCAGATTTCTCTCTACTCCCCTCCTTTCATTTTGTCCCTCATCTCGGTCCCTGTGTAGGAAAGGAACTCAAAGGCACTACTTTACATGACTCATGTTCCTGGTCTAGAAGACAGGCTCTCAATAGCTTTTTAAATTAAATATACCTGATCAGGCGCTGATAGCTCATGCCTGTAATCCTAGCTACTTGCGAGGCTGAGACCAGGAGGATCACAGTTCAAGACCAGATTGGGCAAACAGTTTACAAAACCCCATCTCAAAAATAACCAGAGCAAAATAAACTGGCAGTGAGGCTCAAGCAGTAGAGTGCCTGCTCTATAAGCACAGTCCTGAATTAAAACCCCAGTCCCATTAAAAAAAAAGTAAACCTGGTGTGACCCACACCCTTCTGGTCTAGGCTCCAATCCTCCAACATCCAAGTGCCAACAGAGAAGGAATAAAAAGAAGGGTTAATACCACCCACCCCAACACCCTTTCCCATCCTTCCACCCGACAGGTCTGGTATACTCCAATGCCTGTAGCCAGTCAACAGCTAGATCATGATCATCCTGCAAAAAACCAGTGACCCTTCCCTGGAAAGTCCCTCACCACTGTGACTAAGAGCAGATGGAGGGATCTAAGGTGGAGAGGGGAGCCAGAACAGCTGCTGGGAGTAAAAGAATATGATCAACAGAAGGGAGAGGGATAAAGGGAGAGAAGGAGAAGAGAGAGGAGGAAAGGAGAAAGGGAAGGAAGAAGAGAGAGAGAGAGAGAGGAGAGACTGCTGCTGTAGTCCTGGAAACAGCTGGCCAGCATACCAATCCTGTGGTTGGTTGCTACAGTAGTTAAGACTCACACATTTACCTGCAGTGGAAGACTGTGGACCAGCACTGGGGGGTGGAGGTGGAGAGAGGCTGGCAGCTATATTATAGCCCTCTAGCCCTCTGACCTCATTAGAGAAATTTCTCCTGGAGTACCAGGTCCTGTCTTCCAAACATTAATTTTGTGCCTGGTGCCTTGCTTGACTTGACAGTTGAATCATCAGTGTGATCCAAGCTTCCATAAAGGGCACTCTGCAGAACTGAATTTTACAGTTGTAGCAAGATGATGTTTGGTTATGCAGAAAAAAGCACATCTGATCCCCTCACTGCAAAGATCTGAACTGTCATGTGTTTCAACTCAGCCCTGCAGTAGACAGCACTCCTCACCCCTAAACATGATCATATATATAGAGTTCTCTGCCCCATGGTCCAATGGGTATACAGGCCTTATCATCTATCTGAATCCCTTATCTATAGGACTGATGTTTTTACCTCAGCCATGAAATTACTGACAGGGTTCTTTATGGTGTTGGGAATGGGGGTAGGTAGCAGTAGTAGAATTGTTTGGAAATTGTGTTCTCCTCTGTGGCATATTAAAAAAACCCTCTCCTCAACATTCAATAAGTGGCAGGCACTGAGCTCAGTGCTACAGAGCAAGCCAAGAAGGGGACACCAACTCATTGCTTTTAGGGAGCTCCTAGGCTAACAGGGAGAGAGTCCTATATGTCACATTGTGAAGGCACAATATGGTCTAGGCCTGAATGAAGAGCCCCTGCTATTTCTTAAACTGAGTAGTGAGGTATCATTCTTTATACCCCATTATCATACCCAAGGATAAATATGAAAGAAGATACTCTGTGGGCTCAGAAGATCTGCCTTCAGGAGGAGGAGGAGGAGGAAACATCAGAAGAGGCATTCCATACTTTGGGCTTTGTCAGGCAGTAGGGAATGGAAATTGTAGTGATCTAGAAGGGGTAGGTGAGGCTAGTAAGTGTGACTGGGCCTCAAGGAAGACCTAGGCGCCAAGTGAAAAACTTCATTGGCCTAGACATCCTTATGAATCAAAAGCTGACTTGCCCAGCTGGGTTTGAAGCTGGAGTTCTTGGGAACAGAGGAATCAAGTAAATTGAATCACAGACAGGGCTACTTTCCAGAACCTGGATGCCCTAGCTGGAGGGCAAACCTTTTGGGCCTTCTCTTGACCTTGCTACTATGCTACTTGGCAGTAGAGGCCAGTCCACCACCAATCTTCATTGTCCCCTTCCCTGCCACAGAAAGCTTCAGTGTTGTGGAAGGAGTCATGGGCCACAGGGCTAGAGTTCAAACTATGGCAGCCTCCAATCTGCCAGGGGGTCCCTGAACAAGTCAAAGTAGCCCACTGAGCTCTAGATAATTGTGTGTTATTTTTAGATCAAAATAGCTACTCTCCTCATCCCCCTACCTCCCTAGTCCAAGTGCAGTGGAGGGAGGGTTACATGCCATAAGGGACACCAAAAACCACTTTGTAAACTATACAGCATAAAACAAAAAGATCGACATTAATGTTACTGTTATTATCATCATCATTATTACCTTCTAAGTCAGAATCCAATTTCTAAGGAAGCAGGAGACCATTAGTATAAGATTGCTTATGTGGGAAAGCCATTCACCATGCTGAGGGGGAGCCAGGGGATTTTTAAAGATATTTGTGGATCCATACAAAATCTTCTACTAAGAGCAGTTTTTAAAAGCCTGCTGTATTGTATGTAACAGGGGTGGATGAACTAGGCAAGGTCATGTCCCTAGGATGGAGATTCTCCTCTCCCAATTCCAGTCCTCCTTCTAACAAGGTCTAGGGTCATCTTTGCTGACAAGGATCAGCTTTGAAATTTCATCTCTCACCATCTGTCTCTTGCCATGTCCCTCCCAGAGCCATGCCCCCCAGAGACACTCATGCCCCACTCCAAAAAAACAATGAGGAGAGTAACAGGAGTCTCCCACAGCTGGCAGGCCCCTAACCTGGCCCCACCTAGGTACCTCCTTCCACTACAGGTCCCTTGGTTCTCCGACTAACCCGCTAGGTCCCCAAACTGTTCTTTCTCAATGGGGTATGCTGCCTTGACTTAAGATCACAAGAGCTCACCAAAAGAGAGAGCTACAGCAGAAAACAAAAGGGACAGCAAGGGAGAGACTCTGCAGCTACCCTAGAATGCAGTTGGCTTCTCATTGGGCTCCTGCCAAGAAAGTGGTTCTGCCAAACACAAAGTCCCACAACCTTCCTACCAGGGCTTGAACTCGGGGCATACACCTTGAGCCACTCCACCAGCCCATTTTATGTTAGGTATTTTTGAAATAGGGTCTAGCAAACTATTTGCCCGGGCTGGCTTCAAACCAAGAACCTCCTGATCTCTGCTTCCTAAGTTGCTAGGATTATAGGTGTGAGTCACCAGTGCCAGGCTCCTCAGATTTCTTAATCAGTGTGACCTGCTAAGTTTCACGTGGATTGGTGGGTAAAGGAACCCCTCCCACACTACTTTGTGGTCCCTGATAGGGGTCACTAGCTACAGCAGCTGCAGGGAATAAGTGGTGGTAGAAAACGGTGGGGTCATCCCAACTCCCAGGGCCAGCCTCAGGCCAGTATGGGACAAGTGGAAAGATGGCTCCTAGGAAAGAGCTCCTTCCTTCTCCCCTCCACTCAAAAAATAGGCAGAAGACCAGCCACAAACCTGCCCCAGAGACCCTTCTTGAGAGGAAGAAACAGCCAACTTAGCCAACTTAGGGAAGGCTGAGTTCAGCGAAGAAAAAAGTATGTGGAATTATGCAATAGCTCCAGAGTCATGGCCTTGACCAGATGCAGTTCTCAGGCCCTGTTCCAAGCAGTCTCTCTGGAGGCCAAGTTCCACTCCTGGCCCATCCTGCCCTTCTCTAGGTTAAGGAGGGAGAGTAAGGAAGGAACAGTGAGATGGGTAGTCTATTCCCCCTAGAGAGCCAGCCAGTTCTGCACTGGAATCAGCTCTGCCCTGCTAGGGAAAATTCAGCAAGTTATTTCACATGTTTATTGTAAGATGAGGCTATTGACAGTGCCTACATCTTAAAGGCAATTATAAGCAACAAAAGCAATGTATACATAGTACCA